AATACTTCAAATATGTCGATTGAAGTAGAAATATCTAATCTAGAGTAACTCTTATATTTACTAATTTTATAAATGTGAAAGTGAGTTTTATTTTGGGAGACAGTTTGACAGATATGTATGTATGTAGGAGTTAATTCATTTGTTAACTCTTGGCACTTTAATGGCTCAAACAATCGTCATAAAGTCTTGTAAAGACGCACTATTTGGAACAAAAGACTACTTAGGCTACTTTTTGTCTCGGGTAATTGACACGGTTCCAAACACACAAATAAAGTTGCGGGTAAAAACTAGTACAATATAATGCAGCACTAGTGGAATTTAACATTATACTCGTAAATTATGAATCAATTAATAATATAGTTGCAGCTTGGACAAGTAGGTGTACAATACAAGTAAAGGCCGTTCTTTGTTTCCGTTTAATCAATATCCATGTTGACTACTTTCGTTTGATCACACAGGTAAGAATTAATTAATGAAGGTAGTTACCTATTTAATGACAGTACTGGTTACTACCTAGCGTAGCTACGTACTTCCGAGTTTTACATCTCTACTTCATAGAAATCTTGGTCTATTAATGTTTTGAATATATTTCTTACTAACTTTTACCAGCAACTTCATCAGTGTGGCCCATATAAATAGTCTATATCCTTTTCCGTCACAAATGGTACGTACGTGTGCAGCACATTTTCTGACGATAATTTAAGCTATTAAGGCACTAACAAATAATAAACGATCTCAGTTTTACATTTATAATACTCTTATATAGTAGGGATATAATTTGTAACTCCTAATAACATAGGTCCGCATTATTCCTGTAACTTTTATGTCAACAATATATTTTTATGACAATGTCGTGGCCTCATTATAATTTTTTTTTTTCTCTTTGCCATCACCAAATTTTTATTCTTTTAATTCTTCTGTCTTCATTACTTACTATTTACATCCAAGCAACCTAACATTACTATAGTCAATTTATACTTGTTATAATACTACATATGTATAAGGATATAAAAATATGTTGCCGTGTGGTGCCGGCATTGAATGGATCACCTCTTCCTTTCCCGTGGGAGTCATAAAAAGTGATTAAGCGAACTCAGTGGTCGACAGATGTCTAGTATCGACCCTCTTGAAACCTAACTAAAAACAAACTAACAAAGCCTAACTGCGGTTGCCAACACGCCTACCAAACGTGGTAACTATTGGCAAGATCTCCCAATGGTAAATACCAGGAGTACATGGCCCCCAATCCTTTGACTTATACATTTTTTAACAATAAACAGTTGGTATGATGTTAATGAATCCATATTATCCGTTTAAACTTTCTCTTTTGTTGAATCCGTGCAAAGTCATATTTATCGAAGTATATTCCAAAAAATTGACTTAATCTTTAATTTATTACGGTATTTTCGAACTTAAATTTATTGTTAGTAATTTTTCTGTTATTCCTGTCTACGGCTGACTAGTACATAACGCCATAAACGGTGTAAAATCCTTTTTTTACAATATCTAGGTGTGTCAATATTCAGAACTTACTGAAATAAATTCACAATTGTGCCATTATGTGTAAGAGTGTAGTTAGTCCTACCGCCTTCGAACTCGTTTAATGATTACATAAGTAACTCCTTAGTATAGATTTGAAAAAAGGCCCTCTCAGAGTCAGTTACAGATTCAACAGGGAGTGTTAATGACAATTACTAATTTAAATATGTCATTAATGACATATTTAAATTAGTAATTGTCATTATAAATTAAATTAGTTAATGATAATTAAAACTGTTAACAGTGTTAATTAGCATTAACTAATATCTCATTAGTGTTCAAATAATGAACTTCTCTGAATGCGGCAGTAAGCAAACTTGACTAATCCAGAAGACGGCTTATAATTAGGCAGACCTTTGAAAGGAACTCCAGTGATATCTGGATGAATTATATAAAAATAGAGAAAAACTATGACATTTATCACTTATTGTATACGAAAGTAATTATAAATAATAAAAATAACGAGTTTACGTGTTTATTTTTTTTCATCCTTAGTTTTTATTTAATAATAAAAATGACGGATGGATGCATTCATTATTTCCTTATCCTCGTTATTTGTAGGTATAATATTTATCTATAATAATATTAAAACGTGATGTGCCAATGGATCATCAATCAAATGTAAATTATATTCTTAACTAGCATTGCAAATGTGAATGCGATATTTTTTCATTACTTTTTAATGCTTTAACGACTCGATTGAACATCATAAAATTTGACATTACATAATATGCGAAATGGACAATGACATAAGTTATTTTTTATTCCGGCCATTCAATGCCTCACTCGACTTTTTGGTGCCAATCAACTGTGCTTACATTGCTGTATTTCAATTTGAGGGATAGAATATAACAGTGAAATTACAGGGTTTAGAGGCTTAACACAGAAGGCTCCAGAGATAACAACTTATGAAGGCTTGATATCATGGTCATCATAGTGTTACTTTCATATATATACGGATGGTACTGTTTACGCTTATAGTCGATGGTGACCATTTTCCATCAGGTGGGCCCTCGGCTTGTTTGTCATTCTAAATTTCATAAAAAAGTATATTCTATACTGTGATACCCATCGTATTGTTCATCTTTATAGGTGACAGTTATCGCTTTACATCACGTGAGCCGTCAGCTTGTTTACCATTATAAGATGTATAAAAAATAAATATGTTTTAGACACGTGGATGATATCATGAGCACATCCAGTTAGTTATAAATTACTGATCATCCATTTACAATAAAATCTATTCAATAAATGACCGTAGTGGTGCAGCGGTTTAACATACTGACTCGTTTTCCGTTGCAAATTCGATACCTAAGCATATAACAATTATATGCAGGAGTATGTTGATTATTGCTAATATTTATTTAGGGTTTATGATGACCACTTATTTATCAGATACCTTTAATTATAAAGAGGACACCTTTATAAAAAAAAATATATAAAATTAATAAGTTTTGAAATGGATTAACACGAAGGAAAGAGAAGAATTCATGCGCCACTTTAACTTAAATAAATTGAATGTTGGTCTTATTCTTATTTAAACCAGAAATTTTTGAACATCTCTGTAAATTATTGATGCCCATTAATTCTTCTCTTTCCGCGTCTAGGGAAAGTAGATAAAGTTTTGTTTGAGAAATCCTACTACTACCTAATAATACCTGAAAAAGGTAAAAGCCCTTAAAATAATATTAAAAAAAAAGAATAAAAAAATTTCAAGGTTACTTCAGGTGCCTATCTTCTTAACGTGACTGTGAAGATACGGAACATAATACGAAAGGAAATGAGAGTTCGATACTTAATTAGATTGTTTGAACGACCTTCAATATAATACGGAGGTCATGAAATTTTACTACCTAATAATAGATATTATAAGGAAAATATGACTATAAAGATGTTGCGAAAAATTAATACGGACAAATAATAGCACACCTGCAATGCCGCTGGTGTTGTGGGTGATCATGGGCGGCGGTAGTCACTTACCATCAGGTGAGCCGCATGCTCGTTTAACCACTGCGTTGTAAAAAAAAATACGGAAAATAACAGAAAAATAATTTGTATGTCTACTTATTAGATACCTGTCTTAATACTACAGCTACTAAACTATTTATATTAGATATAAAATATGAATGTGATAATCGAAAAAAAAATCTAGTTGAGTTTACGACTCCAATTGGGTATAAATAATAGATAAGAGACAAAGACATTTTTTTTAACAAAATATATTATTGTAAACATCATATACCTTAAACTAGCCATCGTTTCATAGTTATGCTACCTTATTTATGATTATTTATCAGATAAATGGGAAATTTAAATAGATTGAACTTATGACCTCAGTATTTCGAGTCAGTATTATGATGATACAGCATTGCCTTGTTTATATTGAGATTTTTTTCATGTAATAGATATATTGACAAGGAAGTATTGCTACTGCTGTAACTGCAGTACTGCCCTATAACTGTCCTGTAACTGCCCTACTTTTATTATACTTTTATACCCATTCAAACAAATCAAGTCCGACAAGAACGTAGGATGAGAAAATTACTGTGTGTATGTGGATTATTATATCGGTCCCATTTCTAGTTATATATCTTCCACACAGCCCCTCGTGGAAGCTAATTACAGGTTAATTTCTGATGATAAGACAGTCACTTAAGAACTACTCACTAACTGGCTTGACATAATTCTTACCAGACATGAAAAGGCTCTTAATAATTAAATCTATCGGCCCCATTGCTAATAATATGAGTACATATACCCTATCACCTCGATCTCCACACGGTCCACCTGAAAACTATTACACTTAATTCTTCTAATGTCTCCGTCTTGATGGGTCAACTTAACTGACTTCATCCTTACCTATCTCTTATTGGTACCCTGCTACCGTATACCAACAGCAAAGATGGGGTTGCCATTTTATTGTCGTTATCTAAAAAAGTTCGTAGTCTTCTACGAACTCTTGTTGTCCAACTTGTCCAACTCTTGTTGGCAATTGCAGTTGGATTTTTTTAATGGACAATAATGATATTTTAACCCCACCTACGCACCAGTAAGGGATGATAGGTGAGAATGAAAAGGCAGGTCAATTATCGTGATAAATGCACGTGGAGGTCGACCTGACCTAATGATGAATATACCTACCCTATATTGCTAGCAATGGGACTGGTAGTCGGTATTATTAACAATCTTCCCCTCCTCCCTTTGGTAATGTTCTAAGAGGAACACTGCTGCCTATACCTCAAGCATACAGTTCCGTTACTCGCTTTTTACAATACCCACAGGAGAGAAAGGGGTGGCCTATTTTATGCAGGGACCACACGACAAAAAAGTCAGTGAAAAGATTCAATTAGATATTCCGTCACTTCGCTATCACTCAATTTCAAGTATCGATAGCACAAATGTTATACAACCGAGTCATATTTCGTCACTTGAGTACTCGGCACTCGCTGTATAATTCAGGGCCAGTTCGCCCAGTTCGCGTGCACTTGCGATCGTGAGCGGTCAGACATCGCTCGTTCTATACACCCAACCGCTATTTTCGTACAATACAAACCACTCCAATCGAACGATAAGCCGGCAATTCTTAGTTGCAATCTGTACCTAACGGACGCACGTTGACTGTGTACAGTTTTCAAATTATTTTCCGACTCGAATTATTCCCATTCGCGATTCATCGGGTATTTTTGAATTATACTTTCAAATTGAGTGACGAATGAGTGAATTTTCGCTATCAAAGTTGATGTGGGTGAGCTACAGTGAAGGTGCCGGCGCAATGGAGAGTTGTTATAAACTTTACACATGGATCAACCACACGATCCTGATGCTACTTCTGCAGATATTCTGGAAGATGAGCCAGATTTCGGACTACTTTAGGGATAAGTGAGTATTTATTTATTATATTAAGACAATGTTAAATGTTTTTTATAAAAAAAAAACATTGGATTTATCGTTAACACATTTGCATACTTAATACCTATGTAAGGGCTTCCTTTACCTACTGAATTTTATTTTCTATTTTTATTAATGTATTTGTTCTAGAGTTGCCCAGTTAATAACTTATTCTTAAACCAATTTAAAGAGAACTTTTACTGTTTATACATATCCTTTATTACTGAAGTACGTAATTAATTTAGAGATGAAGATGTTAAGAATAAATAAACTAAATTAAATAAATAAACCTGCATGTTCAAGTGATTTCTATAATTAGATACCTATAACTGGTTTCTAAGAGCTTTAGTTTTTTGACGTACCTCCCTATTTATATCAGGTAGGTAAGCAATATCTACATCGATGTATAAATGGAATTTATTTCAGTTTTAAAGAATATTTTACCTTCACCATAATCGAAATCATATTAGGTTTCTTACAAGTCTTTATATTATCTCACTTAATAGGTACTAAGAACTGACAAGGGCGAAAGCAGATACCTAGAGGCCTAAAATATTTTCTGTACTTATGAAGTCAGGTTACCTTTTTATCGTTTATTTATTTATCTTTAGTTGTGTATATCTAATAGGCATACTATTGGGGGGAAGAGATTGTTAGTAATGCAAACTACCAGTCCCATTACTAGCAATGCGCCCTGTCAGGTCGACCTCCACCTGGTACCCCCTGGAAGCCATCGTGCTGAATTCTAGATGTACTTTTTTTAAAGGGTGATAATGGAATGATAACCCTATCCGCGCTATCGGTATACACCGGCGGGGCACCAGTGAGGGATGATAGATGAGGATGAAGCAGGTCAGTTAGCCCATCGTGACGAATTCCATAAGAATTATTCACGATGTTTTCCAGAAGGAACCACGTGGAAGTCGACCTAATAGGGCATATTGTTAACAATGGGGCTGTCAAACTCCATTGCTAACAACCCCTTTACCCTTCTAGATGTATTCATTACAGTGGGCTAACTGACCTACCTTTTCATTCTCACCTATCATCCTTCAATGATACCCCGCCAGTGTATACCGTTAGCGTAGGCGGGGCCATCATTCCATTATCATCCATTAAAAAAATGGGCCTACTATTTAATAGCATTGTTGAAATTTTACGTAAATAAACAGGTAATCTCGAATAATATTCTTGCCGGCTTTCATAGTTTTGCATGGGAATAAATTATGACTAATACACATCATCATATCAGCTATTAACTGTCCACTGAGGGGGAAAGGGATTGTTAGTAATGGAGACTGAGAATCCCATTGCTAGCAATATACCCAACCAGGTCGACCATCTCGTGGTTCTCCCTGGAAACTATCATGGTTAATTCCTGATGAATTCATCATGATGGGCTAACTGGCCTGTTTTCATTCTCATCTATCACCCTTCACTGGTGCTCCGCCAGCGTATTCCGTTAGCGCAGGCGGGGTTACCATACCATTTTCACCCATAAAAAAAACTGTCCATTGCTGAAAATAGGCCATCCCCTATTGGGGGAGTTTTGCCAGTACATGCCACACTCGGCATGCGGTTTGGTAACCGCAGTCAGGATTTGGTGATGTAGATGTTAGGCGAGGGATGCTGTGTCCATTCTTCAACCATTGTGTTCCTTTAGTCTCCTAGGTAACCCAGGGAAAGGTAATACATAAGTACGTATACTGTGCCATTAGGTCCCGGTATGAATGGACCACCCCTTGTCCATTCATACCGGGACCTAATGGCACAATATACGTACTTATGTGTGTATATAATAATATATATATAATATATAATACTCCCTCAAAGAAAATATATAGTAACTAGTAGTAATAGATATTAAAAGAATAAATTAACTGGATATTTTATCTTTCGGTAGTAGGTCTCCATATTAGTTTTTGATGATATGATATGACCGGATGACAGGTTGGGGTGTATGGAATTATTATCCACTAAAAATATCACAATGTATCTATTACCATGCATAAAGTCAGGTGGAAACCTGTAAACTCCACCACAATACTTGGTAATATCTGCCTAGACGTCTACTGATTCTTAAAAAGCAGAAGTAAAGTCACAGTGTACGTAAGTGCTAGTAAAGTAAATTATGGTAGCTGATAGTAGTCTAATTTGCTCTTTAAATAATATCTATAGTTATTTAAAATTAGATTTATATTGTTTAACACGTGAGGAGGAAAGAGCTTATGAAAAAAAGAGATGACATAAAATGATAAAAGACTTGAATATACATACAATACTATACAATACAATTTCGGTATTAAATAGCTACACAACCTTATTAATTAATAGGTAAAGGAAAAATATACCTAAGCGTTTATGTAATACGATTAATAATGCAAAAAATATTTGACGTTGAATCACCTTCTTATTCACGTTACAATATACGTGAATAAGAAATCTTCAAACGCGATCGAAGAAGCAGGTAAATGCCACCTGCACAACTTGTGAGATCAACACCTAACATTAGTATTCAATTCTGAGCGTAGACTATTCTGAGCATTTCCATAAACTAAAAACAAGACTACAAGACGGGATAAAAGATTAAGTCTTTATAAGAGAGGTAAATAACCGAATATCTATATATCTGTTTTTATTTTTTCATTATTTCTAAAAACTGTAAAAAAAATAAACTCTAGCTTCGAGATTTTTTTTTTTATTAGTGGCAAGGAGTTGCCTTAAAATCAGATCAGACGAGACGTCTCATAGTCGACACTTGAGTCATTTGACATTTGATAAGAAGAGCTTGAATTAATCATACACATAATAATTGAGTAAACGTAATCATCATCTTGAACAGCAAACGTAATAATTAGCTCTAAATATCTATGAGTAATTGATATTTTCCGTTCCCTTGTGGTTTATAAATTGGGTACGTTCATTCTAAGTGGACTCGATTGTGGTTTAGATTCTATTTACAGATGCTTTATTGTAATATCCGTGGAGTAACTATGGAATGTTCATAGATATACAATACTCGTATTATGTAGCTAAATCTATAAAGGATCAATAGATTTATTCTAACTGCTACTTGAAGCAGTTATCAATTAGCAGATAATATTCTTAAAAACACATTTTTTATTTGGTTTCAATTTCGATTATGTTTCGATGTTCTCTCGGGAATTTTTTGTCGATTTTTTATTAATTGTAACTTATTAGTATATACTTGTATTTCATATATCTGCTTGATATTAGAATTTGTAATCTTAAATTGTTTATAATTTATTAAGTACCTAATGCCTCAATGATAATAAATTAATTAATAAAACCTAAATATAATAAAGAGTGCACAGATCTTAAGAGAGTAACAAAAATAATAAAAAAAAAATTATTACCTGCAGATCCAGATTATGAATATCTAAAAGAGAACGGAGGCTAAAAAGCAAAAAAAAGTCTTTCGGAATTGACACTAAATGATGTGACTTTGTTTTTCAACCAACTTTAAAAACAGCAAAAGGTTCTAAATTCAGTTGTATTTTTTTTTCATATTTGTTGCCTTAGAACTCTTTTTTTTTTATACAAGTTAGAATGGCAAACAAGCTGACGGCCCACCTGATGGAAAGTGGTAACCGTTGCTTATAGACATGAGCACTACCATGGATTCTGTCATTTTTAAACCAATTTCGAAATGTTTTATTTACGCGAATGATGGAATACTTTCAGACTGCTCTCATGGACATTTTATCAAAAAAAAAAAAGACAGTTTATATTGGATTTTTAAAAATAACTGATTTGGAACATAATCCACTTATCTGTTGTAAATAAATAAAAGAAAGTTTTCAATACACAATTTATATATTTGCAAATAATATAATAATAGTAATATCACACAATTATCAATTGAAACTTAGTATACATACGTATAGACGCATGGTATACTAAGTTTCAATTGAAAATTTATCTCTGACGTACACAACTACGAGATCTATATCCCCGTACAAACATGTGACATGTCTATGACAAGACATGTGGAAACAGACGACAAGCCAACCACATTCAAAAGATATATTTATAAATACTTAAAAGTGTTAAAAGTACGTACAATGTTTGATGAAGTTCTGTAGCTGTATTGCAGTCAATGTGACAATATTGGGCAATCAAATTCCAAACGGTCAAAGAGGTATCTGAGTTGATATTTTAATATAGGATATTAAACAAAAGTATTGAAAATTATTACACCACACGAGGGTCGATGACCTAGATGTGGTTTAATTAATATTACATCTTAAATATGAAAATAATGTAATTCTATCATTGTGATTTTAATTAACGTCGATCCCTGAACATGAACGTACGAGATTAATTTTAAATCAACTTCAAAAGATAGGTTCTCATTTCAATTGTATGTTTTTGTAAAATTTATTATTCCATAACTTCGTCAGTAGTAAACTTATTTGGATTTTCTTTTTTATCTCAAAAAATATACATACAGATTGGTTCCATATAAAATTTATCGAAATCAGTTCAGTAGTTTAGTTTATAAAACAAAATAACTGGTATTGCAATCATTTTTTTATGGAACACAATTTAATTGATATATATAATTTAAAAGGTAAACTATCTAAATATATAATACATTTCAAATTTATAAGATATAAAGCAGTTTTTATGTTAGCTACACATAGATTTTTTATGTCTAATTAACTACCTAGTTATTAATTCCTTTTTAACGCGAACAAAATGTTAAAATCCTGTTGCCAAATATAAAAATTACGTTACTTTTAGTAGGTAATTTAATTTTTTTTATATAAAAGTTATAAATACGAATTGAAAATTTCTAATACTTAAATATCAGTTATTTGATATAATTATTATGTACCGACTTATAATGGAATACATATAATTATGAATGGAAATTACTATCCTACCTATTATCATTAGTGGACTTAGACATACAGATAATTAATTAGTAAATTATAACTATTACAATAAACTTATCTAAAAATATG